CCAGCCCGCGCTCCGCTGCGAGAAGCGCATCCTCTGCGCATTGCACACCCTGCACGCACACACACACACACATGCACGCACACGCCAGGTCGTGAGGCCCAAGCACGCTGCTTGCAAGGATACAGTCACCTTCTCACGCAATTCTGCACATACCAGCACACAAACATGCCAATGTTCGTGTGAAACACACATGCACAAACACACACTCACACACACCTTGAGGACGATGGGCAACTTGGTGACGCCTCGCAGCCATTCAATGTCCTTCCACGACAGCGAGGGGTCAATAAACTGGCTGATGGCACGGGCCGTGCCCTGAACACACGTGCACATTCATGATTTTTGAGATGATTGCGTGAGACATGCTGATCAGGAAGAGACGCCTTTGTGCGTCGTCAGCATGATTTTCACCAACCACCACCGTCATCATCATCATCATCATTGCAGTGTCGTGGCACCTGGTTGCGGTCGACATTTCCGGCGCTGTCGTCCGACTTCTGCACCGTCGGCGCCTCCATTGTAAACTTCACCCGCATGTCCTGTCGTGCGAGGGTGCAGTGGTGAGCGCACGGCTCATATATCGAAACAACAGCATCGTCCGCTTGTCATGTTACACAGACACAGACACAGACACAGACACAGACACAGACACAGACACACACACACACATACACACACAAAGCAGCGCATTCGTCGCGCACACCTTTTCGCGCCTGCCGAGCTGTGGTGCATCGACGGTGACGAAGATGGCCTTGATGCCGCGCTTCTCAGCACGCCGAATCAGCCGCTCAGAGACCTGTGCACACACACGCACGCAAACCAGAAAGGGGTTGGTTGGTTGGTCGCTGGAGGTGTGGGGTTGTGCGGGAGTATGCAGGCCGCCAATGCTCACACAAGTACACAATCAAACACAATCATACCCATGTACGCGCACGATTACACAATGAAACACTCAACTCCCCCGCCTCTCAACACACGCGCATCACGCACGGCCACAGCACCACGTACGGATCTGTCGTGGTTGACGTAGAGCTGGAGGAAGAGAATCTGGTCGTTTGTTGCCGCACTCGCCATCTCATCAATGGTGCATGAGGCCAGCGTTGGCCACAGCTGCACAACACCGCGGGTGGCGGCGGCGCGTGTCAGGCACAGCTCGCCGTCCGGGTGGGCGAGACGGCCGAGTGCGCAGGATGTGATGTACACGGGCATCTTGACGCGATGGCCAAGCATCGTGCTGCCAAGGTCGACGCTCGAAACATCAATCTGAGACAAGGCACGGCGGGTGGTGTCGTGGAGAGGGCATGTGAATGCGTGTACGCACATGCAGACAGCGCAGATGCAAACACATGCACATGCAAAAGCAACAGCACATGGAAAAGCAAACGGCAGAACATGAAAACACACACACACACACACACACACACACACACACACACACACACACACACACACACACACACACACACAGGTGTTCGGGAGGAGGGAGCTCACGAGAATGCGGGGCCGGAGCCAGAGGCGGTGGAAGGCGGAGTGGTTCTCCCGCAGGGACATCTCGTCATCAGACCCGCTCGAGTAGTACACCCAGCCCTGCTGCGACATGCACTTGCGGGCAACAGCCTCAAACTCAAACAGGTTCAGCACCTGCGACAGCGGCGGTTTGCCTTCGATTTGGGTGTCTGCGCGCTCGGTCGACACGGCCACGGGTGCTGAGGCCTGGTCCCCACTGATGATGGCGGCGGCGGCGGCGGTGACAGGGTCATAAAAGCGGGTGTGTGGGCGAGGTATGAGCAGATGGAGACCAAACCGCGCAGCTCACAGCGGCAAGTGACAACAATCAACCCAAACCCCCACCCCCACTTGCCATTCTTCTTCCACTTTCAGCGTACACACAACGCATGCAAGCAACACACCCTTCCGCGTCGCCGAGGCAGAGGTGATCGAGTCCCAGCTGAGAGACGATGTCCTTTGGATGGCCGCTCGCATCAAAGGCTGCCGTGCCGTCCTTGCCCGCGTACTTCATGATGATTGCCGGCCCAGCAGGGTGGTCCTGCAACCGTGGTCACGGGCAAGTTGTCGTGGTGGCCACGTGGACACGAGGTGAGGTTGCACACGCAGTGTGTGTGTGTGTGTGAGTGTGAGAGAGAGTTTGTGTGTGCGTGCGTGCGTGTGTGTGTATGTGTGCGTGCGTGTGTATGCGTGTGCGTGTGTGACGGACAAGAACCACACGCGAAGCAGGCGAAGTGTCCCAGTTGCAGATGGAAACGGGGTTGATCAGTGTTCAATCACAAATCGCGCCACGTCGTACAAGTGTGTACGTCTATGCATTCCAGTTTACCTTGAGGAAAGTTGTGACGTCGTACACTTTTCCGTGGACGACAATCCAGCAGTCATCCTCCTTGTTGTGCTTGGCCACCTCAGCAAGACTGATCACACCCTCAGCCTTGCCATCACCACCGTCATTGCCATTGCTGCTGCCATCAGCGCCTGTGGTCGTGGTGCTGATGTCATCTCCAGCAGCATCGCCAGCGAGGACGCCCACAATATAGTCGTCCGCATACTTTGTGAGGAGGTCGAGCGAGTGCAGCATGTCAAACGGCTTTGTGGCATCCTTCCCGGCATACGCCACGATGCTCGCAGCCCCGCCAGGGTGGTCCTGTCGCGAACGCGCGCGTCAGTGGTGGAGTGAGTGGGTGTGTGAGTGAATGAGTGAGTAGGGGAACGCGCGGATGTGTATCAGTTGGTGAGTGAGTGTTTGATTGTGTTTGAAGAGAGAGAGAGAGTGTGTGTGTCTGTGTGTGTGTGTTTGGGTGAGTCAGTATGTGAGTGTGTGACGCCATGTGTCAGGAACATGCCTGGGCAACTGCTATCACGTGCGCACCTCGAGGAAGTCGGTGACATCGTACACTTTGCCGTGGATGACAACCCAGCAGTCATCCTCCGTGTTGTGCTTCGCCACCTCAGCCATCGTGTACGCTGGCAGCGACGACGACGACGACGACGATGACGACGACGATGTGGACGTGGACGAAGTGGCCTGGCTTGATGAGGTGGAAGAGGAAGGGGCAGCAGCGACGGTGGCGGTTCCAGCGCTCCTGGTGAAGGCTGCGGCTGTGGAGCCGGCAAGCCGCCCATACACAACGCAATCCAGTAGACTGCATGCAGTGGAGGGGGAGGGGAGGAGGAAGAAGTCATGGTGAGCACGTGATGATGGCGGGATGGCGATACAGCAGATGGTCGGTTCGTGAGCGGTGTTGTCGTTGTTTGCTGGTTGTGTTCTTGCGTGTGTGAGACACAAGGAAGTTGAGGAGGAGGAAGTTGAGGAGGAGGAAGTTGAGGAGGAGGAGGAGGAGGAGGAGGAGGAGGAGGAGGAGGAGGAGGAGGAGGAGGAGGAGGAGGAGGAGGAGGAGGAGGAGGAGGAGGAGGAGGAG